AAGCTTATCAGAATGCAGGAGGCGGCACATGAAACAGCTCTAAACAATGCCAGAAAGAGTAGTGCAAGGTAGGTTCTATCAACTTTTGTCCCTGATTCCTCTTTTGAATTTTCACTCCTTTTATTTTGGTATTTCTTTTGCTTCTAAAATGCGAGAATGTTGTTATGGACTAACCATGAGTTTTCCATTTAACGTGGTTCTGTATTGCAGGCCTTCTAGTGCAAGGAACTCAGTAAGCTCACCAATAATTGCCCGTAATTCTTCGTATGGCCGATCACCATACTCACGCAGGCTATCTGACTTTTCTACCTCTGATTTTAGTCTCTCCCTTGATGCCCCATTCCCCAATTACCGACTTGAAAAACTTGCTTTCAAGGAGCAAGCTAGTTCCTTTTGGCGCCTTGCAAAGATGAATTCTCCTGAATGGGTCTATGCCTTGGTTGGTTCTATTGGGTCTGTTATTTGTGGTTCCCTCAGCGCCTTCTTTGCATATGTTCTCAGTGCTGTACTTAGCGTCTACTATAATCCAAACCATGCTTATATGAGCAGAGAAATCGCAAAATACTGCTATTTGCTAATTGGGCTCTCATCAGCTGCACTGATATTCAATACACTACAGCATTCCTTCTGGGATATTGTGGGAGAAAACCTTACAAAACGAGTGAGGGAGAAAATGCTGACAGCAGTGCTAAAAAATGAAATGGCATGGTTTGATCAGGAGGAAAATGAGAGTGCTAGGATTGCAGCAAGATTGGCTCTTGATGCAAACAATGTCAGATCAGCCATTGGAGACAGAATTTCTGTGATTGTACAGAATACAGCACTCATGCTGGTTGCTTGCACTGCAGGGTTTGTTTTGCAGTGGCGCCTTGCCCTTGTTCTCATTGCTGTCTTCCCTTTGGTTGTCGCAGCCACCGTTCTACAGGTTTGTTTCTCTGACCAGTTCCTGAGTAATTCACTTGTAATCTGGTTAGTGGGAAGCTACTGTAAACAGCAAACTGGTCACTCAATCTTGGCTTTTGTAACAATACTGAATGAATTATTTAGAAGAAACGTGATAAGTTATAGCAAGGGAAATGTTACTCATATTTAATCATTTTATGATCCATCCCAAGAGTATCATACGTTCACAGACAAATCCAAATGGTTTTATGGCGTTTCATGCAATAAAAGTAGTTCTAATTTTCTGTAAAAACCATATGTGATCTGAAATTTTCAACTCTTTTATTAGGTATGAAAAATAATTCAACTCAATGAACTTTTTCTGAACTCTATTTGGTCTGCCTCTGATTGTTAACAGAAAATGTTCATGAATGGTTTCTCGGGAGACCTAGAAGCTGCCCATTCCAAGGCCACACAACTGGCAGGAGAGGCCATAGCTAATGTGAGGACTGTTGCTGCCTTCAATTCTGAGGCAAAAATAGTGGGTCTTTTCTCTACCAATCTCGAAACTCCTTTACGGAGATGCTTTTGGAAGGGACAGATTGCAGGAAGTGGATTTGGGATTGCACAGTTTTCTCTTTATGCTTCTTATGCTCTGGGTCTGTGGTATGCATCCTGGCTTGTGAAGCATGGAATCTCCAATTTCTCAAACACGATCCGAGTTTTTATGGTCCTCATGGTCTCTGCCAATGGTGCAGCTGAGACATTAACCTTGGCTCCTGACTTCATTAAGGGTGGTCGAGCCATGCGCTCAGTCTTTGATCTGCTTGACCGCAAAACTGAAATTGAACCTGATGATCCTGATGCCACCCCAGTTCCTGATCGTCTTCGTGGAGAAGTTGAGCTAAAGCATGTAGACTTTTCTTATCCCACTCGCCCTGACATTCCAGTTTTCCGTGACCTCAATCTTCGTGCACGAGCTGGCAAAATTCTTGCCCTTGTGGGTCCTAGTGGATGTGGTAAGAGCTCTGTCATTGCTCTCATACAGAGATTCTATGAGCCATCATCTGGGCGGGTGATGATTGATGGTAAGGACATTAGGAAATACAATCTCAAGTCCCTCAGAAAGCACATTGCAATAGTCCCCCAGGAGCCATGCCTCTTTGGTACTACCATTTATGAAAATATTGCATACGGGAATGAGTCAGCAACAGAGGCTGAAATAATTGAAGCCGCTACTTTGGCCAATGCCCATAAGTTTGTATCTGCATTACCAGATGGCTACAAAACATTTGTAGGTGAGAGAGGAGTTCAGTTATCTGGTGGACAGAAGCAGAGAATTGCCATTGCTCGAGCTTTAATAAGGAAGGCTGGGCTTATGCTACTCGATGAGGCAACAAGTGCACTAGATGCTGAGTCTGAGAGGTCTGTACAGGAAGCCCTGGATCGTGCCTGCTCAGGAAAGACCACAATTGTTGTTGCACACCGGCTATCAACCATAAGAAATGCTCATGTCATTGCTGTAATTGATGATGGTAAAGTAGCAGAGCAAGGATCCCACTCGCATCTATTGAAAAATTATCCTGATGGGAGCTATGCCCGCATGATACAGTTACAGAGGTTTACACATAGCGAAGTCATTGGAATGACATCAGGTTCAAGTTCCTCAACTAGACCTAAAGATGATGAAGAAAGGGAAGGCTAGTATTGATTAAATGAAAACACCTGTAAGAGGAGTATATCCCATGCATCCCCTAGTGATTTTCTGGGTTTTTTTGTTTCGATGTTAATGCTATGGTATAGTAGTATAGTATGTTTATTATCTTCTTTTTTTCTTACCACAAATTTTATAATCTTATGAATCTTTCCGAGTAAATGATAATGATGAATACTTCCACGCGATTGAAATTCATGGAAGCATCCCTTGTGCATGTGGTGGTTTGTCGCGCCTGCTTTCACAAAAAGATGCCCATTGTTGGTAAATAATTGAGAGAGGTGCCAAGGCATTCCCTGCATTTTTTTTGTACGATTAGGAAATGTGCTCCCATCACAAAAGGTGTCTGCATTCAAATTCAATCAAATCATGCAAGGAATCCTGATCATATTTGCAACATTGATCAAGGGTTTGTGCAATTAGGCTACAAGGGCTATCATGCATGCCAGGATTCCGTTACTTTACCACTTACTGATGGAAAAAGAATGGACCCAGTGGCTATGGGTGTAGACCTGAATACTATTGACGTGTTGGACAGCTATGCATCTCAATCCAAACTTTGAGGCGATCATATTCCTGGCGATTCGAAATCATACAAACTTGAGCTTAATAGGATGCGTATCCATTTATGATTTTGTGTGTGGGGAAGGAAATTATTGAATGTCAAAGTTCACATGGTGGTAGGTTGCACAAGTGTGTCATTTGAGTTTTCAAGGACGAGATAGCTCCATGCGAAACAAGGACAAGAACTACCCCAAAGAGGGGACCTCGTTGAAATCAATAGACTACGCTCCTTCAACCATTAGTAGAAGCTGGTGGTGGTGGTGGTGGACAAGCGTGAGACAAAAGTATAGGATATGGCATTTGGAAAATGACAGCAGGGGAGATGATAAGACAGTTAGATCATGGCCTCATGGGATGCTCTGTCCTTGCGTTCTTTGCGCGGGCCATGCACAATCTCTTTCCATTAAAGAAATACAATGATGTTAGCGTGCACAGATGGGCTTTAATGGCGCCCTTGTTTTCACGTGCTCAAGAGCATTATGCTTTGGAGGGACATTGGATGATGACTCTCTGTTAATAAGTAACACGACCTCAACAGCTGTTTCTTGTCTGAATTGGAAGTTGCAAATACTTGAAAACAATGGGAGAGACAAGAGTACCAGGAAGAAATGATAGTAACCTTCACGTTTCTGCAACAATGTACTGCTCATAAAGAGGTCAAAATGTTTTGGCATTCAGGAATCAGGTGATACCTATGGTTGCAGCATGCGCTAGTCTCTGAAAAGATGTTTTCTTTTTCCTTTTACTGGTAAGTCTCCATTGGTCTTACAATTATTACTGACTGCAAAGGTCTTCTAATCGTGACAGTGGATGCAGCTGACACACTCAGCCCACCTCGCATTTGAATACAAAAGCAACCCGCCAAAAGCCACAACCAGAGCGACAGTATACATGATAAGGAGAAAGGGCCAGAACAAATAGATATACGATAAGAAGGGCCCAAAAATTAAATCCCAAAACCAAGACAGAAAGATGAAAAAAAAAAAAAAAACTACTGTAATCAAAACTTTTGATTCTATACTGGCATTCTGGGAGCATAATTGCTAATAAAAATGAGAGGTCTGTCATATCTTCAGGGACAAACCCCTATCTTATATCTTAAGCTACTGTTTCTACTTCACAAACATCAACAGGAACCAATTATCAACCATACTGGGACCTTCCACCTTTCCCAGACAAAAAATTCAAGCAAGCTAATTTATTGATTGAAAGAAAATGAAACAAACCCAAACAACATAAGATATTCTTGTAGTTTCATGCAACTAAGAGAGGTCTGCTGTCAACCTATAAACTCAAGGACTAATACCTAATCTGCTATATAGCATATAGATGCCATTTAATTTTCTTGCTCACCTTACAAAACGTACAGCGACATTATAAAAGCTGCAATTCTCCAATAACATTCTCTGATCCTGAGAATGCTCTGGATTCCTTTCCTGTTTCTCATCTTCCACCATATTTTTTTTTTTTTAAAATCCTAAAACTAGAGTTGGACATATGGATAGGGCAGACGTGCAGCTTGATAATCAGAGAAGGGTCTGCACTTTGTAAAATTTCACTCGCTTCTTCTGCCTTTTGTACTGGGGCAAGACCCCATGAAACACGATTTCCCATTTCACTTGAATCTCTTGCGATCTCTTTTTTAATGATAGATCATCAAGGCAATTAAAGGACACGTCTCATAATCACCATTGACAAATACATAAATCACTCTAATGGATTCAAAGAAATGGTACCGGCACAGCCACAAAACGTCGCACAACAGGTATTTTCAGACCTGGAGATGAATGGAAAAAATATTTCGGCTGATGCAGTTAATACTGTTTGTTTGAAAATTCAATGGTGAAAAAAAATTTCATCACATTTTTTTTATCGAATTCCCTGTAAAGTTATGATCACATGACCAATCAATATGCCCGGATGTAAAATCCACATAACATCAACTGGCCAAGGTATCAGGCCTTCCCTTTGGATACAAGGTTTCAAGATTAAATCCTGATTCTCCCTTAACTATCAGATAAATATAATAGCAGAGCAGACCCTGAAGAAAGCTAGTCGCCATTACTTTTACAGCAATACAGGGAAATACCACTGCAGAGACCTTTGTTATAAAACAAAATGTCCTCCAGCTAAAGAAGGCCTGTTTGAATTTACTTGTCATCTAAACTAGTGTATCAGCAAAGAAACCAAAAACAGGATGCTCACATGGACATAAGCTTAAGACCATTATCCGGGGCACCCATTCCTGCAGCTAACTCAGAATCGAGTTGATTATGCGGTGCAGGTCCCATCATTTGCTTCACACTGCATTCAGCAAAATCAATATCAGACTAAGTACCCTGTCCTCTATTTTTAAGATATGAATGAGCAAGCATTAGGTTTGTAGTTAAAATTAGCAGGTGAAAAAGGTCTTGGACTCAATTCAACATTCTGGGGAATGAAAATTAGATATGTGGATTGTGGTAAAACAATGGACATGACCAGTTGAGTTGTGCAGATAACTTAAGTAGAAAAGTCTCGGTTTCAACCAGCTAATATCTGGGAGGAAAACATGGTCTAGTTAAGCATTCATAATAAGCACCCAATGGGAAAAACTAATCCAATCCTTTATGCGGCTAGTATTGATTAAGAAAGCTCTATTAACTCATGCACCCAACGACCGCAGAAGATTACTAGATCCTCACATTAGACCATTTTGGGATTTGCTCTGCGTTAGCATTAACGAACTTGAAGTGCATAACACAGTAGCTTTCTAATTTTATAGCAGAAAGGACAAACAACAACAACAAAATTAGAGAAACAGGGGAAAACTGACCGCTTCTTATGACGTTTGGTCTTGAAGTGCTCATCCCTCACAGTCACATTAGCAAAGTAGCGGCTGCCCCAAATTAATTAATAAAAGGTAAGGAAAAAATAAAAAACCAACTGAATTTGCAATATAAATAAAAAAAATTACATACTCGCAGTGGAGACAGTAATATTGGCCCATGCCAGGTAAATCCTCGTCGAGAGGCAAAGTTGACTTCATCTCTCCATCAGGTTTTTGCAGCTCCTCATATACCGCATCGTCGGGTGAATCAAAATTATCAAGTCAAGGAAACAGTAGACACAAAATTACATATACAAAAAACCTTAAGAAAAGTGATTAATAATCAGAAAGAGGATATCTTTGAGGAGGAATTTGGAGCGACGAGCCGTCTTGTGAGAGTATCTTCTCTTCTTCACCTTCCTGCTTGGACATTTGCCTCCCATTTTTTTAGGGTTTTGGTTTCTCAGGGAACAGAATTGAATTGCTTCAGCTTTTCCTTTTTTACTTTATATCAGACACTGCAACCGACGTCGTTTTTGGCGGTTAAAATAAACAAGGTTAAATAGGTTTTTTATATTTTTATTGCACAGAATAATTACTTTATTACATCGGAAGGGAAAAAAAATTAAGCTTTGGGCAAAAAACTTTTTAGTCTTTCAATTAATTTTAAAACAGTTAGATCCTCTTGAAATTTAAAAGGCTGTGGCTATGATTTTAATATTATTTTTTTTGTCTTTCACTTTTGTTTTTTTTATTGTTATTGAAAGTCCTCAGATACAATAGGATAATTTTAAAAATAAGTAAAATTTAATAAAAAATAGAAGCACATAAACATTATTTGCACGTGTAACACCATCCAATTCTCAAAACCTTACTTCTAGAATAACATCCGAAACATATCGATGTTCCTTTAATATACAATTGGTATATATGACATAATTTTTACTGGTTTTGTGTTTAGCTTTTTTTTTCTCTTTCTTAGTTGATTTTCTTGTTAGCTATAAAAAAATTTAAATTAGCTTTTAAAATTTGTTATTATTAAGATTTTATTCTTACTCTTTTTATTTTTATTATGATGTTATTTTATTTAGAATAATTTATAAAATTAAATATTTTTCTCAATTTCATCCCCAATATATTTTTTTATTTGTTAGATTTGATTTTTATTCTTTTTATTACTATGTTTTTATTTGAGATGGTTTTTGAATTTTTTTCTAACAAATCCATCATTCTTGAGTTTTTTTCCTATCAAATCTAAATTTTTTTTATTATTATTACTATTTTTTTTGCCTTGCAGGATTTTTTTATATTGATTTTTTGTTTTTATTTCATGCTACAACATTTAATTGGCTAAATGTTTATTTTTTTATGAGCTCGGGTCTAGAATTTAACAAATTATAAATTTAAGAGATTAATCCTATTTTACAAAGTTGAAATGGGTTTTCTTAATTTTTTTTAAGTTATTTTTTTCATTCTTCAATATTTTATTATTTTTATAATCATTTTCTTTGAGAATTTTTAGTCATTTTGATAATAACATAGGTTGCCTCATTTTTTTATCTTTGTTAAATTTAGCTTTTTAAAAGGAATCTAGTTTTAAAATTAAATTAAATTAATTAATTTTATCCTCCAACATTTAATTCTTCAAGTATTGAGCTTCTAAGTTGAGCCCGGGGCAATAATTTAACAGATTAAGGATTTGAGAGTTTAACATGAGTTTACAAAGTTAACTTGGACATGTTTTTTTTTTTTTGTAATTTCATCCTCCAATATTTTTTTTATTAACTTTCTATGGGATTTATCTTTTTTTTTAAATAACAAGAGTTGCCTCAATTTTTTTTTTATCATTGTTAAATTTAGTTTTTTTAAAAGGAATTTTGTTTGTTAATTAAATTAAATTTATTGATTTTATCCTTTGAATTTTAATTGAGTGGGTTTTGAGCTTTTTATTTTAGCCTAAATCTATAATTTAATAGGTTACAAGTTTGAGTTATTGACTCAGATTTATAAGGTTCACCTAGATTTACTTGTTTTTTTTTAGTTTTATCCATCAATATTTTATTGTTTTTATTTGTTATTCATGAGATTTTTCAGTGATTTTGAAAGTACCAAGAGTTAACTCAAATCTTTTTTATATATATATTTGTTAAATCTAGTTTTTTTTTGAAAGAAATTTAACTTTTTAATTAAATTAAATTAATTAAGTGAGAGTAGACACGAGATGCTTGATTCATAAATTTTTTTATTTGCCTTTTGAGTCATTGCTTTAACAAAACACGTGACCTTTCTGAGTTATTAAATTCTTAAATTTTTCTTACTTCGTTTAACACGTCAATATTGCATGAACATATCTTTTTATGTTGGCAAAAAGTAACCTGGCCAACAATGTAGCACATGTTATTTATCTAGTCTTTTCTATTGTAGCTTCACTTGAATCTTTGTGTTAATTGACATTATCATGAGCATGTTCTTCCCGTTTGAAATTAAAAGTCCTCCATGTATCGTTTTAACTAGGGGTGTTAATGGTTTGGTTTAGATTTAAAAAACCAACCGAACTGAATTTCTGTATTCTTGATAAATATTAACTGGACCGGATTGGAAACCGGTTCGGTTAAATCTGATTTTTTTGAAAAAAACCGGGAAACCTAATCCCTTCATGTATGGATTTTTTTTTTATTTTTTTTTTTAAATAGCTTAGCTTTACATTAAAATTCACAGCAACTTGATGTTCAGTTAATTCACAACAACTTGATGTTCGGTTAAAATCTGGGCATGAATTAAATCAGATACAAATTGGCTGAAGCCTGCAAGATGGAAATAAAGATGAAAACGGTTTATGCAATAGATTACTTCTGAGAGAGAAGAAAGATGGAGAGAAACGCTGAAGCCTGCAAGATGAAGACAAAGATGAAGACGGTTTATGCAACAGATTGCTTTTGAGAAACCTTGTTTTGTTCAGTTAGATGTTAAAACTTATAATAAACTTTCAAACCCACTAGGCATGCACAATCAATTTACTTTGCTGTCGCCTGTTGTTGCTCAAATGAAGATGATTGCTAGAAAAGGAAGATTGAGAATTAATTGAGAGAAAGATTGAGAATTTCTCTGGGAAGTGGGAAGGAGGCAGCTTTTTTGTAAGAAGAGAATGAGATGCACAGAAAGGAGGCTGATTAGGTTAAGTATAGTATTTATACTATATTTTTTAATTGTTTAATGGGTCCAGTTCGGTTTGTTCCGGTTTCTGGTTTAAAACCGAAACCGAACCAAACCTATTAACATTTATGGTTTTTTAAATCGGTTTAATTGGTTTTTTTCAGTTTGGTTTTTTTGATTAATTTTTCTTTGGTTTTATCGGTTTTCTCGGTTAATCGGTTATTTTGAACACCCTTAATTTTAACTAGATATGAACCTGTGTTATGTCATGGGATTGAATTATTATTATTTTTAAAAAAATAATATTTAAGTATTATAAGCGTATTTTAAAAAAAAAATCTAACTAGGATTATAGACTTGAATAAATTAAATAAATTAGTTTTATTTTAATTAGATAATTGAAAAAATCAATAACAACAAATGAACCAATTTTTTTTTTTAAAAAAAGTGATCATGATATATTGTAGAAAAAAACCTTTCTTTCAAAAGGGAGAAAAAATGATGTAGCTCACATTTTAATCAATAAAATACAAAATGAGAACAAAAAATATGTCAAAAGAAAACAATGTCAACCCATGTTAATTTTTCTAAATCATGACCCGAGTTATTAGATTTGAAGCATCGTTTTTGAAAAAACCACGAAGCCTAATTTTCAACCCATTAAATATTGAAAGATGGAATTTAAAAAAATATACAAAAGGTTCCAAAACAAAAAATAGCAATTTAAATAATAAGAACCAAAATTAAAATAAAAACTAAATTAGAGAACAAATATTTTTTTTTGTTAAAGGGTTAAATTAAAAAGAAAAATAAGTTTAACAGATGGACAAGAAACAATAAAAAAAAATAAAGATTAAATAGGAAAAAAATTATATATAATAAGTTGGAATTGAATAATGAAATCGAGAACAAATCAAAATTTTACATAAAGAACAAGAAAAAAAATCAAAAAATTACAATTAAAGTTTAAACATCAATAAATAAGAGAACAACTCTAAAAATTAAAATGATCAACGTGAATTTTAATGGGAGAAGAAGGAAAAGAGAAAGAAAGCACTTCCAATGACAAATTATTTTACTACCACTGTCATGAGCCATCCCAACAAGAAAAAAATATTGTGATAATTTCAAAAACACAATGAAAAGGAATTTTAGGTTATTAATAGATGCCGCACACAACACCAGGAGACAATGGGTGCCTCGTATACACTGGGGTGTATGTTACATGCTCTAACTACTTTTTATTTAAATAATATTTTATATTTATTAAAATATCAATTTTTCTCATTCAACTTAATGATAAAAAAAAAAAAAGATAAAAAATCCCTCAACCACAAGTTTAAAAAAGTTTTCATTTCAAGGTAATTCAACCAATTTACTATGCATAAAAAAGTGAAAAAGACAAAAAAGGATTCTAGATGTTAGGTTTAAAAAGTTTACTTTTAAGAGTAATTTAATTATTTTGTTGTGTTTAAAAAATAAAACAAATAATTCTATCCCTAATTAATTTGATAATGATAAATGAGCCTTATTAAAAGATCGAGTTACTCCAGCACCAATGCCATTGGTTTTTTTAGGATGGAAAATTTTGTAATTATACTATTTTAGCAAAAAAATAATAAGCTACAATGAATCTTTCTTTCATTTTAGTTTTTTTTATTTCATTAAATTAACCCCTTTTATATATAAAAATACTCTTACTAGCTTTTTTATGATCATAAATGGTATCTCATTTTATGAGGCTTTATTAAGTTAATCAAAAACTTGTGATTGATCAAATGATAACTACGGAGTAGCAGACACATATTGATCTAGTCTCTTTTAAATTAAATTCTTTACCATTTTAAAATTGGGGTAGTAGAATGAAAAAATTAAAATTAATTGATTAATTAATTAATTACTGTTAAGTATCATTGTGGTTTCTTGTTTTCTGTTTATTTTATTTTAATTTTTTTGGTTACATTAATGCATATTTTTTTCTATAAACAATGTTAAAACAAGTTTTTAAAAATAATAGAAAGTGGTTTTCTATTTTTTGCTTTAAGTTATTTATTTATGTATAACACATTAATTACTAATATTACCATCAACATACCACCGAAACAAGCACTAATAAACTAATATTACTTTTAGTATTATCATTACTATTATAACTCATTTTTTGACCTTTGAGTTTTTTTAATACTTCTAAAAAAATAATAAATTTTCTACATGTACATTTCCTTAAAACTTATTCAATTTTTCAAAATTTATCTATTTCCTAAACTTTTTTTATATTATTATTTTTGTGCATTTTATCTTGGTTTCGAGCAAGACAATAAAAGATAGAAGCAAAAAACAAAACAAAAGGAGAAAAAAAAAGAAAGTGAAAATCAAGTATAGGCTTAATAAAAAAAAAGGGGGGGGAAGAAAACAATCTAGAGTGAGAAAAAGGTTTGAAAGCTGAAAAAGCAAAAAAAGAAAAAGAAAAATAAATAAATAAATAAATAAAACATGAGAGTCATAGCATCCTAATCTTATATCATCATATCCTAATCCTATATTAGTATTTTTTTTCGAACTTGGTCCAAATACTCCAAATAGAATGTTGCTTAAAAATTTTTATATATGTATCTTTTTATTTATCCTTGTATAGACTCTAAAAAATAAAAAATAAAAAATACAACATGCACTAAACACTCTCCTTTTTAATAACACTCACACCATAACCACACCAATTTATATCAAAAATTAATCTTTCCATCATTGAACCATCTCTTTAAATAAACTTAACCACCAACTTAAGGTAGCACAACTCGCTATAGCACTTAAAAACCAGCTCCCACAACATATATAATTCTCTTTCACCCTCGTGGCCATTGTAACACATATTATATCGAACCATAACATTTTTTCAAATAAAAAACTAGTTAAAGACTCAACCACACGTATAAACCAACACCACCATATTGATATCCTCTTTCTACCATATACCATATCGTCATACATAACCACTCACATGTCATTATCCAACAACCAAAACACCACTTGTATAGACTTTAAATAAAACATCTATTACAAAACAACAAAACCACCGAAGGATAAACACATTTTAATCTATCTTGGGTAGGATACCTTTAACGATTTTTATCTTATTTGTTGTTAGGGATTAATTATTTATCCTTAAAATCTTATTTCTCATCTCTTGGTGTAAATAGGATGTATGCAATCAGCTTTTCATGATTCCAATAATACTATATTATTTAAATACACTTCCAAATAAGATCCATGAACTCAAAGAAATTTGACTTAAATATCCTTTAGAATAAGAGAAAATCAAAGAAGAAAAATAGATTTTTAAATAGAGAATACTAAACTAAAAATTAGAGTGAAGAAGAGTGTCAAGAATCTTGTAAAAAACTATCTAGAATATTTTTCCTTTAACCTTTTTATATAGTGAATTTTAAAATCAAAACTAATATAAAATTAATTACTATAATTACCATAATTAATTTTTATCATTATTAGTCTTAATTATACACTATAAACTAAATCTAAACCTGGAAGTGTTTTCTTTAAATATGATGCTTTTTGTTTGAATAAAAATTATCCATGTTGAAGAAATTGTTTGGACTTTTTATTTATATACCAACAAAAAATAATTGTTTATAGGTCAACATTATAACCTGAATCCAAGCTAAAAAAATAGGCTTGTAAAAAATTATTTTTGTATACAAAATTATTTCACAACAAAATGACACCCAAACATGAACCAAGTCGAGCAGGCGACTTAAGTTTAAAGCTCACTTTGTTTAAATCATTTATTTTCTAGAAGCTTGAATATTTTTTGAATCTAATTTTAATTTTTTATCTTCTTACTGTATAAACAACAAAAAAAATATTATTTCTTTTTTATATGGAATAAATATTTTGGATTTTACAAGAAAACATAATAACAAGAGGTTTTTGAGTCAATAAAGTTTTAATTTTAAAAATGAGTGGATTTTATTTTTAACTTAATCTCAAATATCTCCAATAATCTTTAAATAGTTGGACTCTTAAATAATTAGATTTTTTTTAGACAATTTAGAATCTACTATAGATACATATTATAGATACATATTATGTAACATTATTCAACAGTGAAATATAGTTTCTTACATTACTGAATCATATTAAATCTTTTATTTTATATTTTAATTTTATCTTCTATTATAATATTCATTAATAGTTCCAGTAGATTCTTCGCAACACTTGCAATTTGTCTCCCACCCTCACTTTCTTTTTAATTTCTTCTCTCTTTCTTTTTTTCTTAAGTTCACCCGTCACTCTCGTTCTATTAACTACCATTACACAATATATTATATCCTTTAAAATTAAAAGAAGGAATACTAAATAAAAATAGTCAAATGATTTTTTTTTTAAGTTGAGAAATTTTATTAGTAGTAATAATGGACAAAAGCCTATAATCAAAGGGCGTTGAACCATAGTGCAAGTGAAATAAAAGAAAACAGAAATTGAGCAATCTCACTGCTAAAACGACTAACAATTTGAGTAAAAACCCAGAAAAATCACATCCTTAAACAAATAGTCAAATGAGATTTTCCAAAAAAATAATAATAAAATAGTAAAATCAAAGTCAACTATAAGCTCGCCATTAACTAGTCACTGACCACCACTGACGAGGCAGCTCTTCCGCACCACATCCCCCATCTCCCTAATTGCTAAACATCCCCCTTGGCATAATCCTTGCAATATTCTCAAACTCTTAAGAAGATTCTTGAATTACCAGAGACTTATTTTCTACTAAACTCAAAGTGAAGTATGAAATTCAAAAAAACTCAGAAAACCTAAAATCATAGGAACATGAGAGCACAAATCAAAAACCTGATATAAACTCTTGAAGTTTTTGTAGGGAA